AACCTTAATAACCTCAGGTACAACCACAGAACTACATACAAAAGAGTCGCTGAACCTATTATTAATATCCCAAATTGTGAATGACCATCTCATTTATGAATCTGAAGCACCCCCAGAACAGAGGAAGGGGCTCCGAGAAAAACGCAGAGGTGTCAAAAGTAGAAAGGGTGCCACACCAGCGGTAATAGGGTCCAGAAGGATATTGTATTGAATGATCAGCAGTGTACAAGTGTTAACGTGTTTTGGGGGTTCACAAACTTCATCAAGGATTAAGTATGGTGTGATTTTAGCAATGCCTGGACTCCTGAGAGTCAGCCCATGAGGTTTCATGCTGCAATAACTGCTGATACAAAGATCCCATGTGAGACCTATAATTATCTCCAAAATCTATACTTAAGTGCTGATGGAGTTTATAAACCCTGAAATGTGTTGGCTCTTTTACATTTTTGATCATTCGGTGAAATACCCTTCTGCGCTCTATTACCATTGCTGTGAAATCTTTGCTCCTTTTTACACATCATGTTTTATAACAGCGCTGTTCTTTATATCATGGATTTTTTTTTTTTTCCTTTCCCTGATATAGACCTGGCCATCCAGGTCATAAGGAGTGGCATTACAATAATAATACATTTTGTGCTCATGTACCCACCAGCTGTAGGATTTGGGGGCATTTTAAATACAATGTTGTTGCGCTCTTTTTACAGTAATAATTTTAGGATTTTTTCTGTCTTAGTGTGTTAGATTTTTTTTTGAAGCAGACACAGTAAAATTGCAGAGGGTATTCCAGTAATAAAGGGTTTTATTTCAGCGTCTGAAGCATCTTATCCTGTGTACGAGGTGTCAGGTTATGAGCCCCAGAGAGCGTCTGGTCTTTATACAGCAGAATTTGTTTTTGGCATTTGAGGTTTTTTTTTTATAAGAGAAAAATAGACCAATGTCTTTAACCAATCAACTGCCAGAATCCACCACAAGCAAAATATATCACCGCTGTCACAATTTTCTGCAATTGCACATTGCTGGAAAGTCTTACCAAAAATCTGTTGGCTTGGAGGTCATATCTGCATTACAATAGCACTCACCTGTCTGACCACAGAGATTGCACTGATCACCGCTTGGCACGGGTCATTGTGAACCATGCTTTTGCCTTCAGGGGATCAGGAAGGCATTTTTTTCTCCCGTTGTAGCAAATTGAACCATGTATTATTTATTTTTTTATTTTGTTGCCTTCCTCTGGATCATCTGTGGGCAGGGGCGGACTGACCATTCGGGAGCTCGGGCACTGCCCGAGGGCCCAGGGTCGGTAGGGGGCCCCATGAGATGACCCTGGTACCTTTCATAGGCTTTTTTGGGTGTGGTTTGAGTGTGGGCGAGGACACGGGGGACCCATGAGTTGTCAGTCCGCCCCTGTCTGTGGGTATAGATTTCTGTATATGGAGGTTTTCTTTTTACTTTTTCTATCGCCTGAACTGGATGGACTTGTGTCTTGTTTCAACTTGACTCAGCATGTCACTGCTTTTTCTTTCTATGTGAGGTGAAAGCGCCACACTCCCAACAGCTCACTGTGTAGTTATAGTAAGAAGCGGCCTCAGCTCCTCCCTAGCCAGGTCCATTGATGCCTTTTTTTTTCTGTTGTCACATTTATGTTCTGCTAATATATTAAATCACATGCTGGCTTTTTACATTTCCCTCATTTGCGAGACCTGCCCACCAGAATTCCCAGTCCCACCTACCACAGCAGTGACGAAGAAATGGTGGCGTCACTTTTCCATAACTCGGAATAAACTGTAAAGTGAGGATGTAAGAGGGTGACACCATGGTCATGGTCTTGAGGGAGAGACAGAGAATTCCACCACTCGAGCCTCTGAGAGATCTATGAAGCCAGATAGTGACCACCTCCCACTAGTTGCCACCGGACATTGACTTACATTTATGTAGCTAATGTGATATGAGAACACCGGCTAATACCTTAAAATGGAACTCCAGTATATATTATACATGGGAATATGAGGTAAGCACTAACCCGTGGGAAAGGAGGGAAAGAAGCAGCGGACAGTATTCTATTAAAGGTCTGAGGTAGCAGTAAGTGATCCCTCTCTGTCCGAACCACCTCCTCTTCCATGAAGGACACGTGATGGGCCACCATCTTCACAAAGGCCTGTAAAGAATGACCAACATCAGTACAGAAGATATTTAAATTAAAATGAAAAAAATGGCATTTTACCTTTAGCACCCATCTGTCCGTCCCTTGCATCAAGAACACAAGGCCATTCTAACTTGACATTGTACACATTATCACATAAACCGGGTAGATGTCATAAAACCTTATTATATTTTTTTATAAAAAATCCAAAATATTTACAGCTACTTTACAAAACACACGTACATTTTTGAATAATACCTCATGGCAAAGCTCTCTTTTCTGTTGTCTGTATCACTTCCTGCCCTGGAGACACAACAGAAATAAGGAGGAAATCTTTACAAAGTGAAGGGAAATCCCCTGTTGAACATGTGTCCCTGGGAAGTTGTCCCCATTGAAAGAATTCTCTTCCATTTCACTTGTGGTGACAACTGTAAGATTTCAGATTCCCAGAAGAGAGGGTGAAAAGTCTTCCCAGTGAGGACACAAAAGAGAAATAACCTGATAGGAGCTCTAACCTTTCCCAAAAAAAGGTTTTGGCTTTAGATACACATTAAAACTACTCTGAAAGGACAGCACAGTGGCTAAATTGTTAGTGAATCTGCCTGGCAGTACTAGAGTTATTGGTTCAAATCCCAACCACAGCAATACCTGCCTGGAGTTTGCAAGTTCTCCGTGACCCTGTTTGGGTTCCCTCCAGGTACTTTGTTTTCCTCCCATGCTCCAAAGACATGTTGGAAGGTTAATTGGCTCATGTATAAACCTGGCCCTAATATCTGTATGTATAAATGTGAGTTACGGACCTTAGATTGTACACCCCTTGAGGGTTAGGGACTGATGTGAATGTACAATATATATGTAAATTGCTGTATAAATTGATGGCGCTATATAAGCACCTAAAAAAATTGTCTGAATCCAATGGGCATGCGTATTCTTGAATCTTGGGGAGCTTTGTGTATTTCTTCCAGATCTGTGCAGTCATCCAGTGTGAGACTTCCTGCAATAAAGACCGCTCACTGCTGCTCTCTCTCCTGGTGCTGGGGGACTGGTCCTGTATCCGCCCAATCCTGTACTTTTTTTTGTAGTGGGTGGAGCCTGCTGGGCCTCTGCCCCTCCCACAGCTCTGCTCTCTCTCTACCCCTCCCTGTGCAGGGTGACTGGTCTTTTCTTCACCCCCTCCTGTGGTTTTCTGCCTGCTGGGCCCCTCCCACAGTTAAGTAAGTGTTGTGTGATTCCATTCGTCACGTATATTCTTCTTGGTGATCTTTGTGTATTTCTTCCAGATCTGTGGAGTCATCCAGTGTGAGACTTCCTGCAACAAAGAACGCTCACTGCTGCTCTCTCTCCTCGTGCAGGGGGACTGGTCCTGTCTCCACCCCTCCTCTAGTTTTATGCAGGCAGCCTGTAGTGGGTGGGGCCTACTGGGTCCCTCCCACAGCTCTGCTCTCTGCACAGGCTTTGTACAACACAGTAATGATGTCACTGCTACTTTAACAAGGTAATACCCGGGTTTGCAAAGGCATTTGGTGCACATAAAGTGGATTTATATCCTTCATGACTAATGAGGAATATATTTAAATGAAAGGTTTTGTGCCTAATGGCTCCTGACGTAACGTGCAGATGCAGACTCTTTCCTCACAGAGTCCCCTTCTACAGCAATGCAATGCCTGTATTTCCCCTCGCCTTTCAGCAGCTGCATTTTTCTTCTGTAGAAGTGTACACTGGGCTCTGTGTGTACGTCTGTACGTACAATTAAAAAAAATATGTCAGCAAGACGTGAAAGCACATCGATGGTGGAAGAGATACAGGGTCTCTTCTGACATAAAACCTACCTGCTAGCAATTTTTTTAAAACAGAGATGATGGTGGCCATACACACTTTGATTTTATTATTGGATTGATGTTTGGTTTAGTAAAAGCGATCAAATCTGCAAAGAATCGAATAGCCATTACTTCCCTTCCAATCAATTTAGACTGAGTTTAGACTGGATTCGATCAAACTGAGTGGACTGGTCAGGGCAGAAAATCATCAATCGCTATGCATCAATCAGAAGCCCTCAGATGCGTTGCTCGTGAATACAGCTGCATTTCAATCAATCAGATTATGGGATCACATGGTGGAAACAACAATGCGATCGATAAGTTACGATCGCATCTTAGTTATCGATCGAAGTCCACTTCCCTGTGTGTGCCATTGATTGAATGGGTTGCCAACTATTGATTGATTTTTCCTATAAGAGATCAATCAGAAAAAGAATCAGTCCTTTATCCAAGCACATATGGCCACCCTAAGTTCCACTTTAACAACACAGATTATATCTGAACACTAAAAAAAAGTCCACTGTGTACATTGATTGACCCACACTCTTCAAGGTTTTCCATAGTCCACCATTTTGGTGCGTCCACCAATTTTGGTGCAACAGATCCGAATCCATCATTCCTGCAGATACACGAATCTGTTTTACGCTCCAACATTTGTCGCGCTCCAGAGGAGAGGGAAGTATACAGAGTGTCTACACTACTTGGTATGAAGGTATTACTCCTATTGAAAACAGACACGAACATGGGAAGTGGGAAAACATCATTAAAACATAATGATTACTATACAAACGGGTCACCAACCTCCAACGTATCTACTCGCTTGTAGACCTTGTTCAGTTCTTCCACTTGGAATTTCACGGCGGGGATCTTATCCTCCAGTATGATAGAAGATTCGTTTCTGACCTGCAAGAGGCAAGAGAGCAAATTAGAGGATGGAATAAGCCTTCTACAGAGACGTAGCTCAAGAAGGATCAAAAGGGGACCGCCTAGTATCAGATACTGTATATATTTCAGCGTAAGGTGCAGGGGCGGACTGACAACTCATGGGGCCCCCGGGCAATAGGGGATCATGGGGCCCCTGTGTCCTCACCCACACTCAAACCACACCCAAAAAGCCTATGAAAGGTACCAGGGGCATCTCATGGGGCCTCCTACTGACCCCCGGCCCTCGGGCAGTGCCCGAGTTCCCAAACAGTCAGTCCGGCCCTGGTAAGGTGTCCAGGTATTTATTACGTTTCACTGTCATCTTTATTTCTCCATCACCAAGGGTCATCACCTACTTCCCGTACTATGATGCATGCTCACAGATGACACCATAATGTGAATCCTGGTGCCTATGCAGCTCAGTTCTTGACTGTGCTCACAAACGCCTGACACAGATCTGCCCCTGCTGCGGCTTTTCATCTTGTAACAAAGTTGCAATATACAGTCTGAAGACTGGAGGGTAGGAGACTGAGGAAATGCTTCCTCCTGCCTGCAGCAGACAGATGACATCATCCCAGCCTAGGCAAAGTCACTAAAAAGGATCTCAAGGACAGCTCTTTAATGATAATAGGTGGAGCTTTTCTGAAAAATGATGCTGGTGCTGCACATTGTGACATGATTTCATACAGACTTAAAAAAGCTGTGATTTATTACCTTTTGTACCACTAGCCCCTCCCTCTTAGATTGTAAGCTCCAAGGAGCAGGGCCCTTCTAACCCTCTTGTATTGAACTGTATTGTCTCTCGTTATATTGTAAAGTGCTGAGCAAACTGTTGGCACTATATAAATCCTGTATAATAATAATATTGCCAAAAGTATTGGGCCGCCTGCCTTTCCACACACATGACCTTTAATAGCCTCCCAGTCTTAGTTCGTAGGGTTCAATATTGAGTTGGCCCCGCCCTTTCCATGCACATGGACTTTAATGGCATCCCAGAGTCTTAGTCCGTAGGGTTCAATATTGAGTTGGCCCCGCCGTTTCCATGCACATGGACTTTAATGGCATCCCAGAGTCTTAGTCCGTAGGGTTCAATATTGAGTTGGCCCCGCCCTTTCCATGCACATGGACTTTAATGGCATCCCAGAGTCTTAGTCCGTAGGGTTCAAAATTGAGTTGGCCCCGCCTTTTCCACGCACATGGACTTTAATGGCCTCCCAGTCTTAGTCCGTAGGGTTCAATATTGAGTTGGCACCGTCCTTTGCAGCTATAACAGCTTCAACTCTTCTGGGAAGGCCGTCCACAAGGTTTAGGAGGGTGTCTATGGGAAGGTTGGACCATTCTTCCAGAAGCACATTTGTCAGGTCAGGCACTGATGTCGGGGGAGGAGGCCTGGCTCGCAGTCTCCACTCTAATTCATCCCAAAGGTGTTCTATGGGGTTGAGGTGCAGGCCGGTCAGATTATTTCCTGCTTTTCTACTTCTTCCAGCTGCTGCACATTGGCAGTTTGCAGTAGTATACACAAATGGCAGAGAATTATTAATTTTTTTAAAACTCAAATGGATTATTATATTCATGTTTTTCGGCCTTTTTTAGAGTAACACATGACATTAAAGCTTTAGTCATGTTCTATATAACAGGATAGAAAAGGTTGATTGTAAATTCAGGTAATTGGGAAGCCAAAGTGTGAACATCAAAACAAATTTAATTGATGAACAAAAGGTAAGATATTGTCATTCTCTTCTTCCCTTTCATCTCACTGGAAGTCAGCTAGTCAGGACAGGGAACAAAGGACCCTCGGAATTCTTTTAATGATGCTAAACAGACACAGAGCTCCTAGTAGCGGCGATGCGATCTGAGCTGCTTAGAGGAATGAAAAGCAGAATTTGTATTTATTTATTAATTTTAGTTCATAAGAAAACTTTATATTCTGGATAACAATAATAATGTGATCTGGTCATGCTGGCCGGTGCTCCTTGGGCATTTACGTGCAGTGTGAATATCAGGTTCACCTGAATTTTAAATATAACCAATTCTGTAAACTATAAGGACTTGACTGACCCCCTTGGGGACTCCGATCCTTACACTGCAGAGAAACTAGTATAAGGACAGGAGGACACTGCATCTTATATATTGTATAGTGAGGAGCAGGGGCGGACTGACAACTCATGGGGCCCCCGGGCAATAGGGGATCATGGGGCCTCTGTGTCCTTGCCCAAACTGAAAAAAGCCTATGAAAAAGGTACCAGGGGCATCTCATGGGGCCCCCTACTGACCCCGGGCCCTCGGGCAGTGCCCAAGTTTCCAAATGGTCAGTCCGCCCCTGGTGAGGAGCCTCCTGGTATAGTGTGAGTGACGGATCTCTCTAATACGGTTATGTGTGACAGTAAGGGGAGACGCAGAATATCATATAATCACCCGGAGTCACTTCCATCTTCTCATCATTCCACATATAAAGGCTGCACAGCCGCCCCGCCGGCCGCCTGGAGCTCCTCTTCTGTAGTAATGTGCTGTGACGCTTCCAACACTGCACGCTTGCTGACACAGAGCTACTAATGCAGCTTACTGACTCTGATTATATCACATGCAACTATCACCATCCAAACGTTGTAAAGAATGTTAAAATTCTAGACATACTCTGTGTGTGTGTCTAAGGATTGATCTATATAGAGAAAGAAACAGAAAGAAAGGAAGGGGGAGAGAGAAAACGAGAAAGAAAGAGAGAGAAGGCGAGTTAAAAAGCTGGTAGAGAGAAAAAGAAAGCCAGAAGGGAGCCAAGAACGAGTGAGAAATCCAGAAAAGAGAGAAAGCCAAGAAAGAGAGAGAAATCCAAAAAAGAGAAAAAGCCAAGAAAGAGAAAAGGCCAGGAAAGAGAGAGAGAAAGCTGGGAGAGAGGAAGAGAAAGCCAGGAGGGAGGAAGGGAGAGAAAGGCAAGAAAGAGAGAAAGAAATCCAAGAACAAGAGAGAAATTCAGAAAAGAGAGAGAGCCAAGAAAGAGAAAAATCCAAAAAAGAGAGAAAGGCAAGAAAGAGAAAAAGCCAGGAAAGAGAGAGAGAAAACTGGGAGGAGAGAGAGAGAGAGAAGAGAGGGAGAGAGAAAGGCAAGAAAGAGAAAAAGCCAGGAAAGAGAGAGAGAAAGCTGGGAGGGAGAGAGAGAGGGGGAGGGAGAGAGAGAGAAAGGCAAGAAAGAGAACGCCAGGACAGAGATGGAGATTGCCAAGAAAGAGAGAGAAAAACCAAGAAAGATGGATAGAAAGCCTGGAGAAAGAACACCGAGGAAGTGAGAAAGAAAGGCAAGAAAGACAGAGAGAAGGATGGAAGAAGAGAAAGAGAGAAAGCCAAGAAAGTGATAGAGAAATCCAGGAGAGAGAGAAAACACCAAGAAAAAGAGAGAAAGCTGAGAAAGAGAGTGAAAGCCGGGAAAGAGAGAAAGCCAAGAAAGAGAGAGAGAGAAAGCCAGGAAAGAGAGTGAAAGCCGGGAAAGAGAGAAAGCCAAGAAAGAGAGAGAGAGAGAAAGCCAGGAAAGAGAGAGAGAAAGTCAAGAAAGAAAGAGAAAGCCGGGAAAGAGAGAGAGAAAGACAAGAAAGAGAGTGAAAGCCAGGAAAGAGAGAGAGATAGCCAAGAAAGACAGAGAAAGTGGAGAAAGAGAGAGAGAAAGCCAAGAAAGAGAAAGTCAAGAAAGAGAAAGACAGCCATGAAAGAGAGAGAAAGCCAGGAAAGAGAGAGTGAAAGCCCAGAAAGACAAGAAAGAGAGGACAAGAAAGAGAGAGAGAAAGCCAAGAAAGAGAGAGAAAGCTGGAAGAGAGAGAGAGAAAAAAAGCCAGCAAAGAGAAAGAAAGCCGGGAAAGAAAGAGAAAGCAAAGAATGAGAGAGAAAGCAAGGAAATAGAAAAAGCCAGGAAAGAGAGAGAGAAAGCCAAGAAAGAAAGAGAAAGCCGGGAAAGAGAGAGATAAAGACAAGAAACAGAGAGAAAGCCAAGAAAGAGAGAGAAAGCCGGGAAAGAGAGAGAGAGAAAGACAAGAAACAGAGAGAAAGCCGGGAAAGAGAGAAGGCAAGAAGAAGGAGAGAGAAAGCCGGGAAAAGAAGGGAGAAAGACAAGAAAGAGAGAGAAAGCTGAGAAACAGAAAGATATATCCAAGAAAAAGAGAGAAAGCCAAGAGAGACAGAGAAAGCCAAGAAAGAGAGAGAAAGCCGGGAAAGAGAGAAAAGCCAAGAAACAGAGAGAAAGAAGAGAAAGAGAGAAAGCCAAGAAAGAGAGAGAAAGCCAGGAAGAAGAGAGAGAGAAAGACAAGAAAGAGAGAGAAAGCCGGGAAAGAGAGAAAGACAAGAAACAGAGAGAAAGCCGGGAAAGAGAGAAAGCCAAGAAAGAGAGAGAAAGCCAGGAAAGAGAGAGAGAAAGAGAGAAAGAAACAGAGAGAAAGCTGAGAAACAGAAAGATATATCCAAGAAAAAGAGAGAAAGCCAAGAGAGACAGAGAAAGCCAAGAAAGAGAGAGAAAGCCAGGAAAGAGAGAAAGCCAAGAAAGAGAGAGAAAGCCAGGAAAGAGAGAAAGCCTAGAAAGAGAGAGAAAGCCTGGAAAGAGAGAGAGATAGCCAAGAAAGACAGAGAAAGTGGAGAAAGAGAGAGAGAAAGCCAAGAAAGAGAAAGAATGCCATGAAAGAGAGAGAAAGCCAGGAAAGAGAGAGTGAAAGCCCAGAAAGAGAAGAGAGAAAGACAAGAAAGAGAGGACAAGAAAGAGAGAGAGAAAGCCAAGAAAGAGAGAGAAAGCTGGAAGAGAGAGAGAGAAAAAGCCAGCAAAGAGAAAGAAAGCCGGGAAAGAAAGAGAAAGCAAAGAATGAGAGAGAAAGCAAGGAAATAGAAAAAGCCAAGAAAGAGAGAGAAAAAAACCAGTAGAGAGAGAAAGCCAAGAAAGAGAGAAGGACAAGAAAGAGAGAATGAGAAGAAAAAGTGAGAGAAAGCCAAAAAATGAGAAAGCCGGAGGAGAGAGAGAGATAGAGAGAGAGAAACCAAGAAAGAGAGAAAGCCAGAAAAGAGAGAGAAAGCTGGGAGAGAAAGCCAAGAAAAAAGAGAAAACCAGAAGAGAGAGAAAGCCAAGAAAAGAGAGGACAAGAAAGAGTGAGAGAAAGCCAAAAAAGAGAGAAAGCTGGAGGAGAGAGAGAAACCAAGAAAGAGAGAAAGCTGGCCAGAAAAGAGAGAGAGAAAGCCAAGAAAGAGAGAGAGAAAGCTGGAAGAGAGAAAGAAAGCCAGCAAAGAGAAATAAAGTATGGAAAGAGAGAGAAAACCTGAAGAGAGAGAAAGCCAAGAAAGAGTGAGAGAAAGCTGGAGGGGGGAGAGACAGAGAAAAACCAAGAAAGAGAGAAAGCCAGAAAAGAGAGAGAGAACGCCAAGAAAGAGAAGGTTGAGAAAGAGCGAGAGAAAGCCAAGAAAGTAAGAAAAAGCAGGGTATGAGAGAAAGAGGTAAGAGAGAGAAAAATGAGAGAGAAAGCCAAGAAGGAGAGAGAAAGCAGGAAGAGAGAGAGAGAGAGAGAAAGAAAGGCAAGAAAGAGAAAGCCCGGTAAGAGAGAGTGAAAGCAGAGAAAGAGAGAGAAATCCAGGAAAAAGAGAGAGAGAAAGCCAAGAAAAAGAAATCCAAGAAAGAGAGAGAACAAGCACAAGAACATTCAATGCAGATAGTGTCCTGGCCAGGGTTTAAAACAGTACTACAAGGCAGAAGTGTTAACTACTGTCCAGGGGCAGACTGACAACTCATGGGGCCCCCGGGCAATAGGGAATCATGGGGCCCCTGTGTCCTTGCCCAAACTCAAAAAAGCCTATGAAAAAGGTACCAGGGGCATCTCATGGGGCCCCCTACTGACCCCGGGCCCTCGGGCAGTGCCCGAGTTTCCAAATGGTCAGTCCGCCCCTGCTACTGTCAGATATAGATACAGATAGATAGATAGATAGATAGATAGATAGATAGATAGATAGAGAGAGAGAGAGATAGATAGATAGATAGATAGATAGATAGATAGATAGATAGATAGATAGATATGGGAGGGATAGATAGATAGATAGATAGATAGATAGATAGATAAAAAGGTTTTATAAGGAGGTGTTAAGTACCCCCCATTGATCCTGCCAGTATACAGGCATACAGATACTGACAGGCGATTAATACCGCTCTAGCTCTGAGAGAACTACAAGTCTCAGCACACTCCTCTATCTTCTGATGGCCAATGGCTGCAAAGCGCCAATTACCCATTTTTATATTATAAATGATATTATAATTTTTTTTTTTTTTTGCAGGATGGCACAATTGTTTTCTCATTGGATGATTGCACAATGTCATTCATTATTAGGCAGATTCCATTTAATGGAAAATGTAGACCTTCAGCTCTGAGAAAAATGAAGCTGATGGGCATCTGGGGTCCATGGGCGTACATGGCGGCCTGTGTGCGACGTGTCAGCGAGGTAAGTGCTTCATTTTCCAAGCTGCAAATCCAAATCAGGTCGGCAAAGACTTATCTCTGCTACAAACACTCCGACCACTGGAATGAGTGTAGGAAGAGCTCCCCCTCTGGACAGCTGGAGTCACTGCGCCCTGGAGACAAGGACGTCCTTCCATTTCATGAGTCAGGATGTGGAGGGAAGCTTCTACAAAATGGCTGACCTGGGGCCTCTCAGTTTTCAGCTCCTTCTCAGACGGTTGTAGAAAACAACGCTGCATTTTAATTGAGAGGCGTAATTAACCACGCCAAGGTGAAGAACGCTCCCTGTGGTTCCTAACACCTGTCTAGGTGTAAATGAGAGCCTGGTTTGTCCACGGGGGGTGTTGATAAAGTTCTCAGCCGCCATCTTGTCTGCCATCTCATGATGTGGAAATAAAGTGATGGCATAAAACATACAACCGTCATCTGCAACCTGAAAAACCGTCAACCCAAACCAAACAGAGCTGGTCTTGTATTGTGGTTGATGTGGCCGATGGCTAGAAAGGAGTTTTGGACGGAGTGGAGAGGGATTCGACCTCCTCCCAGGTTTTATTGCTGTCTAGGTCCCCGTTAGGGAGATTCAACCTCTCTATTGGCCTTATTACTGGAAGTAAAAGAAAATCCTCAATTTTGGGTTGTCCCCAGAACAGGAATAGAAGGGGAGAAGGGGAATAGAAGAATAGAATGCCAATGGGGAGTCTAGATCCCTTCACTTTGCAGGGATTTCCTCTCTCTTTCTGTTGGCTATGAGTCAGGAAGTGAAGGGAGGTCTCCCCAATGGACATTTGTAATCGATGGGATTGGTCATCACAGTGATCACAAGGTACAGAGCCGCTCAGATGAGCTCTGTACACTATGGGGGTTTATTTACTAAAGCTGGAGGGTGCAAAATCAGGTGCACTTCTTCATAGAAACCAATCAGCTTCCAGGATTTATTGGCAAAGCTTCCTTGAACCCTCCCCTTACTTTATCGGAAATGAATAAAGCTTTGCCTTTAGTTCAACCGTTTGTCCACGTTGGTGTCATTTATAAATGACGCTCAGGCCAGCCAGTGTGCCCAATAATTGCTGTGATCTGAGCCCCCCCCCCCATCACAGACATAGGGGGGAGATTTACTAAACCTGATTCACTCTGAATCTGGTGCAGCTGTGCATGGTGGCCAATCAGCTTCTAGCCTCAGCTTGTTCAATGAGGCTTTGCCAATGGAACCTGGCAGCTGATTGGTTTCTATTCTGAGCTGCACCTGATTTTTGGCACTCTCCTACTTTAGTAAATAAACCCCCATAGTGTACAGAGCTCGTCTGAGCGGCTCTGTACCTTGTGACCAATCCCATGGATCACAAATGTAAACAGTATTACTATTTACATTGGGGGGGGGGGGGGGTTGATTCTGTGATCTTGTCTTAGGGCTCATTCACGCTTGCTTTGGTCACTCCGAGGTTGGATCACTCTTCAGGGAGCATTTGAGAAGCAGTGAGGAGGCCACGTATTGAACCCCTTGAACTCAGGAACATTGCGGGGCGCTCGCAGAGCGGACTCATTCACCTGAGTGGGGCATGCTTGGAAGGTGCAACACAACCGAGGGTATAAAGGTATATAAGTGTACACCCCCCTGGTGCTGCCTCTGCAGCTAAAGGGGGTGAGGCTGGGGGGCAGCAAAAACATGTTTGAACAAGCCTTGTATCCTTCCCCCCCCCCCCCCTCCTCTCCTTTACATTAACCCTTCATCTCCATCCTCCTACTGAAGGCACATTAACCCCTTCACCTCTGTGTGTGGCCTGTACATTAACCCCTTCACCTCTGTGTGTGACCTGTACATTAACCCCTTCACCTCTGTGTGTGACCTGTACATTAACCCCTTCACCTCTGTGTGTGACCTGTACATTAACCCCTTCACCTCTGGGTGTGGCCTGTACATTAACCCATTCACCTCTGTGTATGAACTGTACATTAACACATTCACCTCTATGTATGACTTGTACATTAACCCCTTCACCTCTGTGTGTGGCCTGTACATTAACCCCTTCACCTCTATGTATGACCTGTACATTAACCCCTTCACCTCTGTGTGTGGCCTGTACATTAATCCCTTCACCTCTGTGTGTGGCCTGTACATTAACCCCTTCACCTCTGGGTGTGGCCTGTACATTAACCCATTCACCTGTGTGGCCTGTACATTAACCCCTTCACCTCTGGGTGTGACCAGTACATTAACCCATTTGCCTCTAAGTATGACCTGTACATTAACCCATTCGCCTCTAAGTATGACCTGTACATTAACCCCTTCACCTCTAAGTATGACCTGTACATTAACCCCTTCACCTCTAAGTATGACCTGTACATTAACCCCTTCACCTCTAAGTATGACCTGTACATTAACCCATTCACCTCTCAGTATGACCTGTACATTAACCCCTTCACCTCTAAGTATGACCTGTACATTAACCCATTTGCCTCTAAGTATGACCTGTACATTAACCCCTTCACCTCTATGTATGACCTGTACATTAACCCCTTCACCTCTGTATGTGGCCTGTACATTAACCCATTCACCTCTGTGTGTGTCCTGTACATTAACCCATTCACCTCTGTGTGTGTCCTGTACATTAACCCATTCACCTCTGTGTGTGGCTTGTACATTAACCCATTCACCTCTGTGTGTGGTCTGTACATTAACCCCTTCACCTCTATGTATGACCTGTACATTAACCAATTCACCTCTGTGTGTGGCCTGTACATTAACCCATTCACCTCTGTGTGTGTGTCCTGTACATTAACCCATTCACCTCTGTGTGTGTCCTGTACATTAACCCATTCACCTCTGTGTGTGGCTTGTACATTAACCCATTCACCTCTGTGTGTGGCCTGTACATTAACCCTTTCACCTCTATGTATGACATGTACTTTAACCCCTTCACCTCTGTGTGTGGGCTGTACATTAACTCCTTCACCTCTGTGTGTGGGCTGTACATTAACTCCTTCACCTCTGTGTGTGGCCTGTACATTAACCCCTTCACCTCTGTGAGTGGCCTGTACATTAACCCCTTCACCTCTATGTATGACCTGTACATTAACCCCTTCACCTCTGTGCATGACCCGTACATTTATGACACACTGTATCTAGCGCACCATTACCAAGCTCCATGCCTTTCATCCAGTACCAACAGGTTTCTTCAATTCCAAAAAATTAGATCACTTTGGGGTGACAACTTTCCAAAAAAGGGTACATTTGGTGGAGGGGGGGACGCGTTGTACAGTTCTGGCATTTTTAAAGTATCAAAGTACTAACAATGTCCTGGTAATAAAGGCTGGCAATCAAGCGGCTAAAGTAACTTCCGTAACAACTGTCCACATTGCCTCACAGCAGCCAATCACATTTCATGCTGCTCTAGGACAAGAGATGTCTCATTGGTTGCTTCAGTGGTTCTTATTTCAGAATATTGATGCCATGGCTTACGGTACCAAGAGTCTTTTTTTTAGAGCCTAAAATGAGAAATGTCTGTGCTCCTAGGCTTGAAGTTGATGGATGGATGGAGTTGACGGATGGATGGAGTTGATGGATATCAGGGTAGTACTTGGGGTTGTTAGTTCTGACAAAAGATAAAAGATGCAACATGGTTATATAATACCTGTGAGGCTATGATCATTTCCTTCTACGGCCTGCGATATTACAAAGACCGCTCTCCCTGCATAGTGACAGTAAAGAGTTCCTGGCTGATGATACATGAACATGGATGAAAAGCACAGAATTAAAGAGGCAGAATCAGTGGAAACCCACCGTGGAGGACACACCAGCCTGTAAAAGGAAGTCTCTGTACGCATTAAGCATCCTAAAAAAAAGACGCCGAAAAAGCAATCCGTGTTCTTCAGCAAAACTTCAGAAACGCTAAACTGAATTCCCGTCCTGAGAAAAAGCCGGCGTTTTCCGGGCCTCATACAGATCTCACTGCCGCCATGCTCCTCCCTTTTTCTGCAGAAATTCAAATCAATGTGAAAATGATAGAAAATATTACAGACCGCACAAGATGGGGAAGCATGAAACTGGGGTTCAGTTTTTACAGCGAGAACATTAATAAGATCCAAATGTAACATTGAATGCTGCGCAGTTCAGGGATTATCGACGAGTAAAACATGGCGGTCACTACAGAGGGGCCTAGATTGGGCCGTCTCTTAGACCTGACCTCCAGACTTCCCTTCAGTCTTGCAGTTGGATCCGCTCCTCTCCTGGACTAAAACTGTTTCTTCTGATTTCACTGCACATTGTGAGCGTCTCACAATGTGCATTAGAAGCTGCACCAAGTTAGATAGAGTCCGTCTCATTTTCTGGCTGGAGGACGTCCAGCATCATCTCGATCTTTCCTCCACAGCCTGACTTCCCTGGCCTGCCCCTTTCAGCATTTTCAATCATGGAGGCTCAGTATCACAAGTGGGCAATGCCT